CGAATGCAATCTAGTTAATGTGGATTTTTGTGAAAAAGCAAAGTGCTGGTTGGAGATCGGTAGGCTAAAAAAACTTATAAGCATTCTTTTATCAAGTTGCTCAATGCTTTCACCTAAGGAGCTATCTAGGAAAGAATGACGTGGAAGTGAAACCTTTGGTTGTTTGAAATTTTGAACTAAGATGGTCATTGAATTTTACAGCATGTTCAAAGCAATTTTCATTACAAGCAATCCACAGGGGATGCAAGTCGAAAACTCACTAAATCTATGAAGAACCTATCGAGGAACGTCATCCAGATGACCTAAGTCCCCGTACAAGGTCTCGAAAGTATCCTCGAGCAAAACTGTAGCATCTAATTGATATCTATTACTGTCCTCTGTACAATTGATCATACCGCCAGTAAATCTCAAGTTCTTAGACCACAGCACAGATTTTTCGCTTTTTATCATTTTTATGAACGAAAAAAGTTGGAAATTTCACTCTGAGTGTTTGATGAATGGTTCAAATATTGAGTTTTTTTTCGAGAGATTTCTGCAACCGTTTGCGAATTTGTTTGTGCCTTGCTCTTTTGCTTGGTGAAATTTCTGCAGTTTTAGTAAATTCTTCATTAGAAAACTTTTTTTGTACCATCACTTTCTGCTTTTGCCTCTCCTTACAAATGTATCTATAAATTTTCTTTTCGAGGTTGATATGTTTAAAAATATCAAAAAACTTATACATAAGATATTTATCTACACTTGTGCACACATACCATTCAGCATTGTGCACACATACCATTCAGCATTGTTTAAATAGTATAGAATTACAGTCTTATTTATATTTGTAAAGGAAAATTCTTTGTGCAGTATACAACTTCAGATGACGTCCGTATTACTTATTGGCAGTGGAGGACGTGAACATGCAATCGCATGGCGCCTTATGAAATCCAGATTAGTGAAGAAAGTTTGGATTGCACCGGGAAATGGAGCAGATTTCCCAGTTCCGGGTAATATTGGGCGCTATCGGCACTAGAGTTGTTTGACTGAAATTCATCGTCCCGATACCTATAATTTTTGTAGAATTATCAAATTAGTTTATCCAGAACAATCTTTAAAAGGCCTATTTCAAATTTAGACATCAATGAGAAAAACGCCGATGACGTTGTAGCATTCTGCCATCTAGTAGATGTGTCACTGATCATCATAGGCCCTGAAGGTCCTCTAGCCGATGGATTTGTGGACAGAATACACGGTCGAATCCCCGTGTTTGGTCCTACAAGCGTAGGAGCACAATTAGAGGCACGATATAGTCAAATAACTCTTGATTTTATATCAGCTTTTCATGAGGATATTGTACTACCCATTTTCAGGCCTCGAAAATCTTCTCAAAAACGTTTATGCGTGATTTTGGGCTGCCAACAGCTAGATTTGCACAATTCAATGAGATTAAGGATGCTACAGCTTTTATAAATAAGTGTGTCTACTTGTATTCCAACTTTTCAAAAACTATTTCTTAAAAATTGTTATATATTCAGGTGCGATTGGCAAGGTATAGTCGTGAAAGCTGATGGGTTGGCTGCAGGTAAAGGTGTAGTAGTGGCAGAGACCAAGAAAGCAGCAGTTGCAGCTGCAGAACAGATGTTGGAGGTAGGTTTGGAGTTTGTAGAAAAATACCCCGGGAGAAATCCATAAAATCGAGAATTCCAAGCAAGCTCAGTAGTAAAAACGGGAAAAAAGTTTCAATTTGTAAAGTGGACCTGAATTTTCGAGATTACGTAGTCGATTAGAGTTGGTTAAGTTTTGTCATCAATAG